GCCGGCGCCCATTTTGCCCGCCCGCTGAGGAGAGCAGTACGCGGCCTACAGGCTCTGGGGACAGCCCTGAGGCGGCATCGCCGCGCGCGCCAGCCTCTGGAGCCAGGGGGACGCTCTTTTGAAATTCGGTCCTAAGCTAGTTGAGGTTTTATTTTATTTTGTTTTGTTTCCAAGTTACGGCCCCTGAATTTTGTACCACTCTCCCTGGACCACTTCCGGTTGCTGGCCCTTGCCTCGTAACTTCGGCTGGGGTGACCTCGGCCCCGGATGCCCCTCGGCTCGCCCCGGGCTCACGTCCCGATCCCGGCTTGACTGGCCCGGGGTGGGGGACCTGGAAGTTTTAGCCTCGCTGCTCTCGAGGCGGATTAATTAGCCCAAGAAACATTATATTCATGTGAGTAACCTCTTGCAGAAACAGTGCTATACTGTGTCTGAAAAAGTATCACTCTTAAGCTTGGCTGCTGCTACTTTCTTCAAAGGCTTTTACGTATCTGTTCGTTACAGGGAAGGGGATTGGGGGCCTTCGGGTTTGATTCAAGGTCGGATGTCTCACGGTCGTTACCCACGATGCAAGTTTCCGCAGCTCTCCTTGTCTTGATATCAAACCTGGTGACATTCTGTGTCAAAGTAATTTTCTTTGGACGTCTGTCAAAGTACCCACGTCCCAACTCCCAAGGTTAGGAATTACACGTGGATCTTAGGAACGATTCTAAATCAAAGCAAAATATAAGCCGTGCCGCCTCCACAGCCCATCGGTGTTTGCGTGCGTTTGAGCTCGTTTTCTAGTCCCTGCGTGGTTTTGAAGCCGGGCAGACAGGGCAGTACTGGAAAGGGAACATTCCCAGGGGGCTACTTGAAGAGGTGTTGATGCTTTGCTCTTTTCTCCCAAGTCAGTTCCAACCCGTCTCCCCGCAGACAGGGCCCGCATCCAGAACTCTCTGTGATACGTATGCCAGCAACCTCCATTTTTGCCTAATGCTTAAGGATCACATGGCACATCTGTCCGTGATTGGTTTTGATGATGATGAAGCTTGGGAGAAATTTCAAGTGTGCAATCACACTGGACGCATCTAAATGTTCTCTTAACTTTCAACTTTGCACCGTATATTATTTTCGGTTCCTGTGTGTGGCCAGTATGCCCAGCCCTCACGGGGCAAGGACGGCTGTTCTTCTCATTATTATGTTTTAGTGGTGGGATGTTTTGAGTTTATATAAAGTGCCTTTAGGCACCTTCGAGAAGGAAAACACCTTTCGTTTGCTGTTGCTGTTATTCTCATATTCCAGAATGACATTCTCTAACTTTTATAATGCTGGTGGCTGCATTTTACAGCTCTAAATGTTTAATTGGAGTAGAAAAAAAAACTATTAACGTTTATGGCAAGCTTATTATGTGCTAGACCATCTACTAAGCATTTATATACTTGTGTGTGTAAACTGCCCCTAATTGGAATCAGGCGCTGCAACTTCCTAGCTGCGTGACCTCACGCGAGTTACCTAACTTCTCTGTGCCTTACCTCCCTCATCTTTTGCTGGGGGAGATAATAGTATCGGTCTAAGCAGGCGATTATTAAAGGAGTCAATACATATAAAACCCAATGGAAGTGCTACATAAGTGCTGACTGTTATGATCAATATGTTCTTTAATTCTCATATTACACTTCAGAAAACCGAGATGGAGACAGGTTAACTTGTCCAAGGTCACAAGACTAGTCAGTGACAAAATCAGGATTCACACGCAGACCAGGCTGACTCCAGGGCACACGTTCTCAGTAACTTCACCATTGTAATTGGATGAGTTTATTAACTGACTTCAAATGAAATAAGTGTATTCAACTGATCAATGCTTAAAAACTATTAAAACACCTGGAAATGAAAACAAACGATCCTTTTTTAAGAAGACACAAAGTAAGTCGTTCTGTAAAGGAAAATTAATGGTTTTACTTAGATTACTACCCAAAGAAGCCCTTCTCTATGGTATATCATCCGTTTACAATATAATTTACAAAATGCCTTGCTAAGAAATTATCTAGGCCAGTGTGGTCTCTGACTGTGGCATCAAGGTGACCCCCGTGGGGACAGTCTCTTTTAGTGCCTTCATAGATGGATAAAGCTATATAAACACTTTTAAAATCCATTTGAATTTGCAGCTGGTAGTGTTCCTTGAGCTGAGTGGAACAGGTTCATGTTCCGTGTATTGTATTGGACCTTGTACCTAAGTTTATCCTGACGTTTTAAGAGATTTGGCTTAGTTCAAGGCGTCCTGAATTTTGTGAACAAGTGTCATGTGCAGAAAAATGTTCCGTGGGCACATAAATTTGGGAAATGTTAACAAAATGAAGTTTCTTTACTGCATAACTTGCCAGGGCTTTGACTGTGTTAACGTGAGATTCCCAAACTTATTTGACCAAGAAAAAAGGAGCAAATGTTTCAAGAATCACATTTAGTGAAATGGTGTCCCATTCATACGACCTGTGATTTTTGTGGCCTTTGATCTGAATCCCTCTCACTCAGCCTTTGCTTTTCTAGGCTGAGAATGTCGGTCCATGTTCATACGACAGCTTCTCAGCCCCTCGATCACTGCAGTTGCCCTTCTCTGGGCCTTCATGCTCTCTGAGCGGTGGCAAACGCAAGTCCAGGGTCGTGTGCTGGGGTTTGTTCCCAGGCTCATCCTGCTGATGCCCAGCATGCTGGCCTTTCGGTCACAGCAGCACATCCCGTTGCCTTTCTTCTGGAAATATTTTGTAGTGATTCATAGGCCTCTTTGTAGTGAATCATAGTAACAGAGCATCATCTCCAACTTGTTTGCCCTCTGTTCCACTGGAATTATTTCCTTCTAATGTCAGCGTAACCTGTAACATTTTGCTTTTCATTCGAAACATTTAAACGTCAATAATGTTGGTTGTTGCTAGGACCTGTCTGTGAAGCCAAAATGGTCCCGAAACCCTTAACATTTGGAATCTGCTTTTTTAAAACCTTGGCCACGCTTCTTTTGTACTCGAAATCCAGACTTTAATGTATTTTATTTTGGCGTTAATATTTACTGGGATTTTGTATATCACTTCTTTCCAAAGCCCCGAGGAGGAAGAGAGGCAGAATAATTCTATCTGCTAAATAGAAAAAAAAAATGGCTTTGAAAAATATATATATAGCTATATAATACCCAACACCCAGAGAATCAATTTCTACCCATGTCTGTGTGGTCTGTTCACCTTCTCTGT